GATTCTAGCGAACAATATAAACTTTATGAGATGTATCCATCCTCTGATGAATGACTAGCAGATGAATTTTTTCACAATTATGCAAATATACCTCACTCTTTCAGTAAATTTCACATAGCCATGTTGCCCAAAAATTATCTTCTTCCAGGCTGGACTAACATTCAATGTTGACCTCTTCTAGTTCTTATCAGCACCTCCAGCGTAACTCGAACCAGGGTGCAGTGTACAGCGTCGACATGATAACCACGTTTGAGTTCAGCTGGGGGTTCTGTTGAGACCAGATGAAAAATGAAGTCCAATACAGTCTGGATGAGAATATGTCTTTGGAAGCAAGGCTATGTCAAATTCCATGGAAACGTGAGGCCTACGCATATGATTGTGGGAAAATTCAACTGCCAACCTTTTATCACCTTACACGAAATAGCTCTTATGGCAGATCTACCTGCCTATAAAACAAAAATTTCATATTCGACCAAATCCCGCTCATTGAGCGTCTTACACGTTCCGCCTCCAATTGCCGAGTCAACTTTGCCACCTCTGCTTCGGCTCTGATGACACGCCGCCTCGACTGCTCAATTTGAGTGTTGATCGTTGTGCGCTGGCGGTCTAACTCGCCTCGTAGCCCAGCAGCCTCAGCATCGGCTCTGCCAGCTTTGTCAAGCGCCGACTCGACGCGGTGCCGTGAGGCCGCCAATGCGGTTTCCGAGGCGACACGACGCTCCAGAGCCAGTCGAGCTGAACGCTCAGCTTCAGCCCGAGTCTCTTCAGCTATAAAAGATAAGTAAGGTAGATCGTCATAACAAGTGTGATACCTCAAAAGTCTCACTTGTATTCGGCGGGCCCCGACTAACGAGATCAGAATGTTGATATGATAGGGTATTATTCGTATATATGAGATGTATTCATCCTAATTAATTTAAGGTGATCAAGGACTGATAGTTGAATTTTCCCATAGTTCCTACGTTTCCAGTGGACTTCACATAGCCTTGTTTCTCAAAAGGTATTCTCGTCTCTGCTGGGATAGGCTGCAGTTTCGACCTCTCCCTGATCTCATCAGCCCCCCCCCAGCGGGACTCAAACCCGGATATTCTCGGAAGCATACCTATAAAATGTGGCATTATAGAAGTGGATAAAGCAGTGGAGACTGACTTGCTATAAGCCTTCCAAGCGATGCATCTTGGTAATTGTGGCTGAATATTAGCCTACTGTCATCTTCACATAATTTCAAGTGATGCCCTTCAATTTATCAGCAGAGTAGTTACTTCCCAGTCTCGAGGCGGTTTGTTCGTATTACCTATTAAGCATTTTATAAGTAATGTAGAAATTCACCATTTTTTCTCACAGACGACGACATTTGAGATGCCGATCATTAAAAGTCATCATTCGACAGACAAAGTGATGAAGAAAGGTCATACAGGCCATCGCCAGGAACTGATCAAAATAGTGATCAACATGTTCAGCTTAGGAGCCTAAATTCCCGATTAATGAGTAGTTTGCAATTAGGAAGAAGCTCATTATTATTCGCCGTACCTTGTGTCCTAAAAGGCTTTCGCAGCCAGACTGGACTCCATTTCCAACCTCCTTCTACCTTCCATACTATTTGATGCAAAGTCTAGCTTTTCTCACTGAAAATTCGCCTGATAAGCATTCGGATTCCGGAAGAGCCCGATAGCAAAGTATTTACGCCGAGGTAGCTCCTTTAATGCCGTCCTACAAACACGAGCCTACTGGAGTTGCACTGAACTCGATCGTGTGGAGCTCACCTTTTTCAAGACGCGACTTGAGCTGTTCCACCTGCAGAGCCAGTGCCTCGGAACGAGACTGAAAACGCTGTAATCCTGCCCTGGCTCGGCGCAGCTCGCCAGTCACCTCGGCCGTCTGCACCGTGGCTAGCTCGAGGCAGCGCGCTTTCTCTGCCACCTCCTGCCGGCGCTGCTGGAGATCTCGCGACATCGACTGACAGCAAGTGGAGAAAGGTTGTCAAAAAAGCTGAGGACCGGGATGAAAGCTAACTTGATATTTTTAGACATTTATGCCCGTTTATAAGTGAGAGACACTTGGTCGTCCCGACGAGGC